TACATACGAAGAAGCAACACAGAATGACAGTTAATCTAGTTTGTGCATTTCTCGTATCAATAGAGACGGTGGAAGGTCATTCAAATGTGTGGATAGAAATACATTTATACGAGAACCGTCCAAATTTTGTTTAACCAAGGCCCGGAAGTTTGCTAACACGCGTTTGAAGTGCTCATGCTGCTAGAAAATTAAACCACGGCGAAATCAGACCGGTGAAGCATGCATTTGTAGAGGATGGGGCACTTCGAACACCTTTGGGGCAGCCAGGATGCGTGCGAGCGCGCCCCTCGCAGTAGTCACTTCCTTCAATAAATTAAATGCGCGCATAACAACCGCTTGGCACCCAAACCGGGATGATATCTGCTCGGTAAGGCATGCTTTTGTAGAGGATGGGGCACTTCGAGGACCTTCTAGGAGGCCAGGATGCGAGCGCGCGCACGCCCTGCAGTCACCAGGTGGGTCCAAGAAACTCGATTCAAGCGTAGGAATCGATTGGCACTCGAACCGGAGTGATATCTGCTCGGTAAAGCATGCTTTTGTAGAGGATGGGGCACTTCGAGGACCTTCTAGGCGGCCAGGATGCGCGCCTATGCACCGCATACTATCGAGATTGGTGTCAAAATGACCGTCTTGAAGAGACGAATCAAATGAGCCCACTACCAAGTTGATCAGACGTCATTTAGCCGTCGTTTGTAGATGATTTAGCACTTCTTGGCCTCGAACAGGATGAAGGAGCCCGATTTCGGCGTGGCACCATATCCAGATCGATAGAGCACCCCCGAAAACATAAGGGAGGACTATTATTTCGTTTTCATCACAAAGTGCAAGGTTGGCCTGTTTTTTGTCCCTTAACGTCCCCACTAACCGGTATTGCAACAGCGTGCGGTGTGGTCGGTTGTGAAAGTGCTCAAAAACAAACTCAAGTTGCTGGTATGTGTTGGTTGCTTTTGTTTGCGGTATGTTTGTTTATGTGCTTTATACCGCTCATCTTTGTTCGGTTACTGAGAGAAAAATGTGACGGAGGATAGCCCAAATCACACTTTTTAACAGTGGTTAAAACGACTTTCTTCCAGTTAACAACTTCAGTGATGTTGGGAGGGGCGGCAAGGGGGCAACAGCCCCTCAGTGTTGTGGAGGTATCTCCTCGCGATCCCTCTCGGGGGCAGGGATTGAGCTAGAAACCTGGGCGTGTGCTCATTAAATTTATTGGCTCTTTATCTACAAGACGGCGTCAACAGATCGTGGAGAAAAGATAGTTTTGACCAATTTCTCTAGATTTGGGTATTTTCGGTAAAATTTGGTCGTGTGTAAATATTTTTCAAGATATTGGCCGGAGGTCATTGTGTCCACATTCTTGTCCCTAGGGCAATTTTACATAAGAATACCAATTTTCAGCCACTGAGCACCAAAAACCTCAGAGTAGTTATAAAATCCCAAATTAAGTAAAACGAGTGGCAAATTCAGAAAACATTTGTTTTCTCGTCCAGTAAATTTTTTAGCAACCTAATATTTTAGGTTGTTTTTTCTTACCGTGAGGGCATTTTAGAAAAAAAAATGTTCAAAATCCGAAGGGGGTCATGGGAAGGCGTTGCAAGTATTAAGGGGAGGTTCTGGTGAAAATGCTATTTTCTCCTAAATAGGTCCCACTGTGAAAATTTGTTAAAAATTTGATGTCTTATCAAGTATTTATTAAAATTTTTCATTGGGGAGGCACATTCTATGCCCTGAATCCAGTCGCAGAGCCTTTTTCTCCCATTTAGGCTATAACTTTAAAAATCTTCTTGCGCATACTATTTTGTCGTAAAAGGTTGGCTTAGACATTTTTCACTTCTTCGATTCATTTTTTAAAAATGCCGGCATGCCCATCTCAAAATGTCAATTGCATTTTTATTCGCAAGCTTTCTAACCAAGCATTTCACTAAAATTGATCAAAAATGTACAAAATAGACAACTTTTAGGGACTTTTCAGCTTAAAAAGCTAATAATTAATAATATAATGGAAGTTTTGAGCTATGCATGCCGGAATCTTTTGAATATGAGTCGAAGAAGTGAAAAATGTCAAGGTCAACCTTTTACGACAAAATAGTATGCGCAAGGAGATATTTTAAGATACAGCCAAAATAGGCTCAAAAAGACTCTTCGACTGGGTTCAGAGCCTCCCTAGTAGCACAGATCAGTCGACAGATTGTCGGTCGACTGTCGGTGCCTCGACTTAAAATTGTCGATCGACTGTTGGCCCCGACGTTTCTCCGTCATCGAAATGGCCCAACTTCCGAGGTCGGACGACAGTCGTCGCCGATGATTTTTCGACATCGGAATCCGATGACATCTCGACATCACAAACTCGGCAGTCAAACAGCCCCCCCCCCCCCCCCCCCAAAAAAAAAAAAAAAAATGCTTGAGTGATGTCGATGATCCGAGTGTTCCGATTTTCTTAGCACCCGCTTGCCTCGCCGGAAGGACGCTTCAGCGCCCGCCGCCGGTAGGAGTTGAACCACGGTCCCGTAGCATCGTAGCGCGGACGCTTACCCCGAGACTACCGGACTTGTTGAGGACGACGGCTGCACGGCTCCGAGCACCTGCCCCGAGCGCGCCGCAGCGAGCTGCTGGCGCGCAGGGGTGGGGGTAGCGGCTCTCTACGTGCGGCTGCTGCGCGCGGTGGAGGGGGGTACGGCGCCGCACCAACGCAAGCCACGCCAACATCGGGACTTAGAATTTTCACGCGTCTTTGGAGCGCTTGCACCGTAGCGCCGGCGGCTTGTGAGGATTCCGCAACTTTTTGTTTTACGCTGAGCGGACAGGCTTCACCATCTGCCCTACGTGGCGCGGACCACTCACGAAGTCCCCGAGAAGCGTCCGAGTACCCCTGTCTCTTAGGGGCTGTTCATAAAATACGTCACGCGTTTTTGGGTCATTTTTGACCCCCCACCCCTCCCTTATCACAACTTCGTCACATTCGGCTGACCCTCCCTCCCCCCACCCTCTTGTGACGTTCTTTTTGAGCATGAGCGAGAAATCGCGCACAATGCATCAGTTAATTTCATTTCTCTAAGTCTTTACAAAATCGAGTAAAATAAACGCTTCAGTAAGTTGAAAAACAGATATTTTACCTCGCGGGAGGGCGTTTTCATTGCTTACCCACCCGAAAATGACGTATTAAACCGGTCTTTTTATAAATACGTCACAATACCCAACACCCCCACCCCCCTCAGCGTCACAACTCATCACAACTCGCCGATACCCTCACCCCCCCTAAAACGCGTGACGTATTTTATGAACAGCCCCTTAGAACGTTGAGTATAATCAACTCCCTCGCTTCCTAGCGCAGCGGTTCTCGACTTTGGAGTCGCGAAAAAAAATTGTGGTGTCGCGGCGATGTAGCTGGGGTCGCCTGGGGTCGCGGCGGTTTCCCAGCTGGCCTACAGGCCGAGCAGTGCCGGGAACATCAGTTCGCGGAAACTGGAAAACCCACTGCCTGTTTGTCGCTGCATGGAAGGTTGAAGGCCTGCCAGCGCCGTGAGCAAGCGGGAAAACCCTTCTTGGAAGTGTAGGTAGGGGACGGGGATCAACTCTTTTGAGGTAAGGACTCCTCCTCCACGACCACGGCCGGTCGCCACCGATTCGTTATCGCTTGGTTGTCGGAAGCGCGATGGTCGGAGTTTCCTGAGATTTTCCGTATCGTGACAACATCAAGTTCGACAGCTTCTCGACAACGGCCAGTTGCCATCCAGTCGTTATCGTAGGGTTGTCGGGAGCGCGATAGTCGAAATTTTCACATCGCACTGGCATCGGCCCCGATAATTCCTCGACAACGGCCGTTCGTCTTCGACCGACTATCGCAGCGTTGTCGAGAGCGCGTTATCGGCCGGCCGATAGAATGGCGACATCGAGTCACCAAATGTCGACCGAGCGACAGTGCGACGACAGTCGCTCGACAAGCGAAATAACGTTATCGGCTATCGACGTGCCGATACAATTTCGACTGTCGATCGACAAGTCTGTGTTCCTAGGGCTGGGATGTGCCTTCAAAAATCAAATTTTAGTCTCCTCAAAGAAAGATTTTATATTCCGAACAAATTATGACACTGGGATCCATTTGGGAAATGGCAAGATTTTCACCAGAACCTCCCCTTAAATAAATTAGCTCATTACGGGTATTGGGGCGTAGTCGGTACACAATTTTTGAGAGTGCATCTCTTCTTGTGAAAACGAGTGACCCCAGTAGTAAAGAGGCCCCCAGGTGACCCGTCGCCATCTTGATTCCCCCAAGTGACCTGTCCTAACCTACCCTTGGGAAGGGTCAAAAGCGGGTCATTTTTGGGAAACAAATTTTTTGTCATTTTTGGAACAAATCAAGGAGAGAAGTCCTTAGTTTAATGCCGCGGTTTTGGCGATACCCAAAAGTATCGCCAAATTTTTGCGATACTTCTGTGTATTGCCGTTCTGAGGGCTATCCTTTTCCGTAATGCCGTTTGTTGGCGCACTGAAAATCTATCGGCGTGACTTCGTGCCGCTGCAGGGGCGTGAATAAAGTGTCACGCCAATAAACGGCATGACAGAAAAGTCACGCCAAAAATCGGCGTGACTCAAAAATTCACGCCAAAAATTGGCGTGATTTTCTTGTCATGCCGCTTTTTGGCGTGACTTGTCTCATAAAACGCGTTGTCATTCACGCCAAATGAGGGCTTGACTCACATGTCACGCCGTTTTTTGGCGTGAATTTCGTGTCACGCCAATTTTTAGCGTGACTGTTGGTCACGCCATAATTGGGCCATCAGTCCGACCTTTACGTTTTCAGTGCGATTCAATTGTATCACCAAAAAATGTACTTAAGTATCGCCTTTGCATTTGCAGTGCAGTGCCATGTTAGAGGTCCAACCTGTTGAAATGTGTCAAATCAACGCTGACTTTAAAGTTATGACCGGGGGGGGGGGGGTATAATCAAGTGTAGGGGCTTTTGAGACCAATTGGTTTCTTCTAGTAAAAAAAAAAAACATGCATCCGTGCTCAATATTCATCGTGTAATTCAACGGTTCAGCCCTTAGCTCGAACCATCTTTGGCGAGCCGCCTACTGCTGGCTGAGACTGCGGCCAACACGTCGCATGCAAAGCGTGCCGTAGCCCTGGGCAGCCATGATGTCGTCTGGAGCGTCACTGAGGGTGATGGTCACGTCCGCGGCGAACTTGAAGTCGTACACCAAGGTGTTGATGTGCTCGTTGTTCCACACAGCCGTGCTGACGAGCTCGTCGGCGTCCTTCAGGATGGCGTCCACGTCGCCGCCGTACTCGCCGTCGGGCTTGGCCGCCTCGGTCTCGCCGCGCGCCTTCACGGAGGCAATCTTCTCCAGCAGGGCGTCTGCTTTGACGGCGGTGTCGCGCACGTCCTGCGAACACAGGGTGCTCTCAGACTCGTATTGACTTTTTTCTCTCCATTATTGACATTTTGTCTTTTGCTTACGTCGTTTTTGGCCCGCCCTTCTATTCAAAAAATAGGGGGAGGGCCTATGCATTTGCCTTTGTGTCTGTGTGTTGTTGTTGTTGTTGGCGTCTGTGTACAAGGAAGGAGTTGAGCTAGAGTAACCAGATTTGGAGGGTACTTCAGGAGTACCGTCCAAACAAATAATCCGGTGGTGCAAATCCCGTCCGGGTCGCACAAGGGCTGCTGCAGGTGCATCATGGTTTACATGAGCGGGAGGGGGATTTCCGCCATTATTGGTGCTAGCAGGGCACATAGGGGTATTTTTGGAATCGGGGCGACGAGACAAGATGAATGGACCTGGTCCCGACCCCATCGGCCGCTTTTACAAGTTGGCCAGATCAGGATCTTCAAAAAAGGGGGTCGACCGACTAAAAAAAATTATTGCAGATTTCGATTGGTCTCAGCAAGACCTTTTCAACGAGGGGTCGGAAAGGGGGCCCAGGAGCCCGACTTCGTCTATTAGTCACATCAGGATCTTGAAAAAAGGGGGTCGACCGACTAAAAATTTTTTACTTAAGTTTTGGATAGGTCTTGGCAAGACCTCTTCAACGAGGGGTCGGAAGGGGGGTCCAGGAGCCCGCCTTCATGAGTTATGGGAAAAAGTGCGACGGACTCGTTTTGCGCTCCTGCTGTGCCTCTTTTGCAAGGAGTTGCAGTAGCATGGCAAATATGGGTATTTTCGGAATGAGGGCGAAGAGATAAATGAAACGGGCATATTCTAAGGACAGTTGGAGTAAAAAGTGTAAGGACCATTGCATATTGTGAATAGAAGGGAGGGCCTAAGTCACGATGGTACATCGATAACTTTGCTTTACCCGCTCACGGTGTGTGTGATGCGAGCGGGCCGAAGGCCCGGGCCTTCGACTGGCCAAGTTGGGTCTGATGCGAGGGCCGAAGGCCCGAGAAAAGGCCGCCGGCAGGCCAAGCCGGGCCGGCCCCCTGTCGAACCGAGTTGCCGGCGCAGCGAAGCGGAGCTGGCAACTCGGTTCGACGGAAGGGCGGGCCCTAGCTTGTTTAAGCAGCAATAATATGTAGTATTTCCTTTGTAACCAAGTACAATATTGTTCACTATAAAGACTAAATTGTCATCAATTATTGACTATTTTTTAAGTCAATTGCGTATTGACTCTTTGTCAGCAAATTGACTTTATGTCAATATAACGAACTAAATCCTACATAAATATTGAGGAAATAGTACTTTTTATTGCTGTTTAAAATACTCTTTAACAAAGGACAAAAAGTCAATAATAGTCTGAGAGTGTGAGAAAACCTTACAAACTATTTTGGGCCCTACAAAGGAAAGCAACTTGTTAATAAATATATCTTGAGCATACACAAGCTTGCGAAGAAATTTCGCATTACGAACTACACTCTCATTCCAGGTACGTGACTTCACAATGAAACGAACGTGACAAAATGTTACGTTCGTTTGAGCGCCAAGTTTGGATGTGAAACGGCCAAAAATTAGCTTGTTCACATTCAAACGGACGTGGCACAACGTTCAAACGAACGTGACAGTTACAACGTGTGTCACGTTCCTGGAATAAGAGTGTACTTCTTCGTAAAACAAAGTAAATTTATTTGTGCTATGTATGCTCAAAATACATCGTCCGGTTTTGAGCGTGAAGTTGCCACCACATCTTGAGGGAAAATAAATGTTTCATCTGCTATACATGGGCTTCACTGAAAACGCATCGGCGTGATTCCAAGGACTACCCGACGTTAACAATCTGTGCACGCCTTAAGGAGACAATCCCACAATCTTGCATCAAAAATGCTTCAAGGTACACTCCAAACTTGGCATGCTCTGAAACTGGTCACCTTAGTCACCTGCTCCACTTTTTAGGGCGCCACTGGTGCGAGACTGTCTCCGACTTGAGTACTATTGAGAAGAAATGTACTAAACAAACTTTATGAAAAGTTACAAGACCCTGAAACGTATTCTATTAGCATCTTTCAAAGAATGTCTACCTCGTTGATTATCAATGGTGCTGTGGCAATTTGTCGCAAAAGCAGTATCAATCAAAACCAAGCCGAACTTTTTCACAGGTAGCACTAAAACCTGCTCTCGACGTTTGCAGAACCCTGAATGAATTACACTTTCAGGTCATTTTCCACAGGTGCATTGAGAGGGCACGGTAAATACGAAACCTGGTTTTCCCAGGAAGCCTATGGTAGAGACATAGGCGATTTCCAGGGTGTTCCTGGGAAAACCAGCTTCCGTTTTTACCGTGGGGCCATACCTGCATATCGGTCTGGATTAAGTCCTTTACTCCGACGACGGAGTAGGCCTCGATCTCAGCCTTGTCGTCCATGTATCTGTCAACGCAGGGTGCCGTGTCGACGGTATTTTTGATGACTCTCGCAGCGTAGTCATTCAATTGGTCAGTGAACTTCTTCGTGTAAGCACTCACGTCTGCTACGCCTTTCGTAATGCCTTGTCCAGCCCTGCATTGGAACAAGATAACAAAGATTTGAGTTCAGTCAGAGGTACCGTAAATGCGGGTAATATTGACCACCAGTGGGTAATGTGGACCACCCCTGAAATTCTCCTAAATGATCGGTTCGAGCCAAGTTACTTAAAAGATCGGATGCTAGTGACCGACACGGTTTTCCATGCCACAGGTAGTCGGCATCACCGATCACAAAGAGGAGTTTTAGGGGTGGTCCACATTACCCACTGGTGGTCCATATTACCCGCTTTCGCTGTAATTTGACTAGGTAACGAAAGTGCAGTCCGAGCTTTGTTCCTGTTACGTTTTAGAAGGTAACTTTTCCTGGTTACAATTGGAATTTTCATCGCAGAGCATTTATTTTCCAGGGAGTAATATACAAAGCTATATCCATTGTCACTCTAAGTTTTAGGTTTCTACCAGCAACGGGTTAGGATATACAGTGGTCATTTTGATGACAATGTGAGGAATGTCTAACCATAATCCGTCAAAACGCCAAATGTTTGACCGTTATCTTACAAACTGTCAAATGCCTAATCAAAATCTGACATGTAAGGAAAGTCCATTGTGTCCATTCGCACTTCCTTTTTATCATAACTGTTCACTGAGAATGAAAGAGTCATGATCATGACTAAAATTTTGGGTGAGGAATTCTTTACTACCCAAATTTGGGTGAGGAAATTTTCCTCGCCCAAATTTGGGTGAGGAAAGTTTCCTCACCCAAATTTGGGTCATAATACCATGGAGCTATATAGGGAGCTGATACACCCTTCCTCACCCAAAATTGGGCGAGGAAACATTCCTCGCCCAAATTTGGGTGAGAAAGTAAACCTCGCCCAAAATTGGGTATTGATCATGACTTTTTCATTCTCAGTATTTACATGACATTCCACCATATAAGGTCCACAGAAATAATGTCCATGATCCAAAATGTCCATGAGGTTTAAATGTCCATGTATAAAAAGGTCCTCCAAATTAAGGTCCAGAAACCATTTCGTCCATGAGTCAGAATGTCCAGCAGCACCGGGAACCAGCACTCCGCAGCAACAACACCACGCCACACACAGTGAAAACTCTACGAAGAATCGCTTTGTAATACGAAGAAAATGAAGGCATTGTAAAATCTACGAAGAAATGCTTCGTATTATGAAGCAAAATCCTTCGTAATACGAAGCATTTCTTCATAATACGAAGCAATTCTACAACGCCTTCATTTGCTTTGTAGTTATGAAGCAAATGATTCGTAGGCTTTTAAGAGTGCAGCTGTTATGAAAATATCTTAGGTCAGATGATCCTATTGTCGCTCTCCCTAAGACGTTTCTCATGCGGTAAACTAACTGGGGCTTTCCTTTATGAGATTGAATGATTTCTGCCATGACTGAAAATTTTTACTATGAGACGGGTAACAATGGAACTCCTGCCTCCCGAACATCCCTCGCGCGGGAAGTATCTCCAAAAATGGCGATTCCCTGACCATTGGAATGTTCCTGCCAGAACGGAGTATTTCCTGGCCAATATTTAAAGGACATTATGAAACATGGTCATTTGTGCGTGGACATTTACCCCTTGGACTTAACATTCATGGACATTAAAACCTGGACATTATGCACATGGACATAAATTCATGGACATTGAGACATTGGACATTAAGTTCATGGACATTATGTCTGGTAACCTTTACATGATTGCAAATGGAAGAAGTATAAACATTCAGTACTTTCCTACTTTATTCTTCAGTATATTTTCCGTCCAGAAGTACGGATTTTCCTAACAGTGAATTTCCAGAGTCCTCTGGGCTACTCTAGTTCTTACTTGTCGGCTGCGTCAGCTTCTTGCACGAGTTGGTGGCTTTTCGCAACCTCCGCGGTGACATTTTCAGCCGCCTGGCTAAGAAGGCCCAAAAACTTCTCCCTGCTCATAACAGCAGGCACAGTGGTAGTTGTCGTCCTGACAGTAGTTGTCTTCCTGTCCCATGGCCACGCGTTGAGCGTCTGCGGACGACAAAGACAATTGTCATCCTCGACACTCACGGCAGTCCGAATGAAACTAGACATTCTTGTTTTGAGACATAGGTTAAGGTTAAACAAGGCAAGTCCATGTACAAAAGAGGGGAGGGGAAAGAGGGGAGGGGAAAGGGGGGGGGGCGATTCTCGGTTCTTCTTTTCCGCTCTTTGGGCTTTGGTACAACCAAACCTGACCATACTTTCGTTTAGTCACTGTGGGGTAAGGTTAGGCCCCAACACTTGAAATTTTATCAGTTACAATTTTTTGGACCTTGCGCGCAGGATATATCTCGAACACCGTCATAGGTAGAATTTTGTGACAGCTTAAAATGATCAGCTTTCATGTTGCAAGAAAGAGTAGTCCGCAAAAAATTTCAATCAACAGTTGCCAATGAATGTCCAAAAGCGGCATGAAAACGGTTTTATTCCGGTTTTTAAGATTAAACGCGAAACAAAACAGGTTTTAGAAATCTGGCTCCCTTGATTTCTTCATTCTGACCATAAAAAGGTGTGGTTACTTTGACAGATTTTTGGGACAATTCTTGGATTTGAAATTCTTTGCGCAAGGTTTAAAACCTATATGTCGACCAAATATTAAAAAAAAACAACAAATAGCTCCTGGTAATTCTCCGTGGGACTTTGCAGTATTCTCCGTACTCTACAAATGCAAAAGCATACATTTTACGCTCTACCTGGAGCATGCCTACAAGCACGCTCTCGCTAGTGCATGCCTGACAAGCATGCACTTGCTAGTGCATACATGCCATGTACACGCTTCTTGATGCAGACAATGCACTAGATGCATGCTTCAGTAAGCGTGTACTTGGCATGTATGCACTAGTAAGTGCATGCTTGGCAGGCATGCGCTAGCTGAAGCCCGCTTGCAGGCATGCTAGGTAGAGCATACAATGTACGCTTTTGAATTTGTAGTAGAGTAGGACTGTACAGTCTCCATCGTAGGACTTTCCAGTTTGCCGGGTCCTATGGAGAAGACTGTACGGTTCTTCGGAGAATACTGTACGGTCCTACGGAGTTCATTGATAAGAGGGCTACGGAAATCTTGGCACAAAAATTGACCGAACTTTCCGTACCCTTTCACCACAGAAGCATACGCACCAACAGCCCCCCCCCCCCCCCTCAAAAATAAAAAGAATTCTTGGATCAAAAAAAATTAACTTTTTTTGGTTTAAAAAAAAATGTTTCTGAATCCAATTTTCTTTTTTGAATGAAGAAAAATTCTTCTTGTGTCAAGATCTTTTTTTCTTACAGAAACCAAGAAAATCAAAAATAAAGAAACCCTTTTGCTGGGTGCAGTATTGATAACTTACGTGCACAGAGCAGAGGGCGACGAGGGCCACGAGTAGCGCTTTGGACACCATGATGTCGGTTCACTGGGCTGCGAGTGGCAGTGGTTGTGCAGCCGCGTTTACTGTAGAAGCGTAGATCGGTATTCTATTGCAGGCGCCAACCACTTAAGGCGTTTGACGTCAGTCGACCGACCTTTAGACGAGATAGGAGAACAGCTTGCAAAAATGTGATCTTTAAGCAGTTTTGTAATCTTAACTTGCCTTGTGACCTTTCGAACCGTCGAAACCTTTGCTCGTAAACAGGTGGCTCCACTTGTCCTACCATTATTTTTAATTCCGTACAAACTTAATTTGCCGTTTTTCTAAATACTTGTGTCAGATGTCTCAATTTATGGGTAAAAGTTCCCTTCTATTGTGCATTTAGTTTATTAGTATATGCACGTATTTTTCGAGTTTCCCGGCATTTTTATTTCTTTTTATTGCCAAGTTTAAATTTTGACGGGTGGCATATCGACCACATTGGTATACCACTGCCATTCGTAGCCACCCTTGAGCCACCCCCTATCCCTTTTATACAACTTGTTTGCTTTCCCCACACTCCTACCCAGATTGACTTCGAGACCACTTGTCCTAGAGCGTCGGCGACCTCGGCGTTGGACTCCCCGTGTCCCGGGGCCCTCGTAGACACCACCAGGAACCACCACCTGGGTGGTGGCGACAACGGTGTTGATCTGTATGGCGGCACGGCACCCTCGTTCGTCGGCATCCTGGGCGCACCGGAGGTCCGACGACGACCGCTGGCGGGTTCCTGGTAGTCTAGCACTCCCTCAACACGATGCTGAAGTCAAAAGTCCTGGACACCCAAATGGAACGCAGCCAGAGGCCGAAGATGATTTTGGCCTCCAACTAAAAAGTTGCTTTGACGGAATCCTTGTGGTACGTCCTCGTATCTCCGGAACCGCTTGCCCTACAGCGGCGACTTTGGTGTTGGACTCTTCCCTTGCTGCGGCCCTCGGGGACACCATCGGGAACCCTCAGGTTGCAAATCCTGGACACCTGGCTGTAGACCTCGGCGTCAAGGCCTTCAGTGCCAGACATTGTCTGGTTTTGAGTCATTTTTCCAAGCGCGGCGGGCTTTTTCCAGGCAGTCTTTTCCGGATACATAATGCCCAGGCGTGGCCTGAATATTAGCCGCTGGCCACAGTTTTCCCAGGCGCAGCCTGGAAATGCCCCGCAACTTCCAGGTTGCGCCTGGGAATCATATGTCGGGAAAAGACTGGCACCTGGAAAAAGCGCGTCGCGCCTGGAAAATGCGAAGAGTGCCTGGGAATCCCAGGCGCTACTTTTGCCGTGTAGTGACTCACACTGTGGTCCCGCCTTTAGCAATTCGTAATGCAAGGCTGCTTTGCGATTCCGCATGCCTCCCCCAGACCAACTTTTCGCAGGCAACATCGGGCAGGCATTGGTCGAGTACCGGGCAACTATGCGCAACCAATGGGTAACAACCGGACAACTACGGGCAACTGCCGAGCAACTCGGGGCAACTGCCGGGCAACCACCGGGCAACTCCGAGCAAATGCCGGGCAACCACCGGGCAACTCCGAGCAAATGCCGGGTAACTACGGACAACCACCGGGCAACTGCCGGGCAACTGTGTGCCCGAGCACAGCTCGCGGGCAACTGAAGGAAGATGTCGGAAAACATCAGTTCAATAGGTCGGTTTTGACACCCCTTTTAAAAAGCGTTGCAAAAACATGCTAAAATCGACCTATTTTATTCTGTAAATCAGCCATTATGTAAATTTGCAGGTGTTTGCGAGATTTGAAAATTGCTTCAAGGACATAGTTAATGGACAGGAGGTTGGTGATGGAAAAGCTAGTTTTCAAAAACATTTCAAAATTTCTATTGAAAACCAACTGAGAGACAAGACACAGCAAACAGCCAGACAAAGAGCTGTGAGGGCAAGGGGGACTGTGGGTTACACTGGGCGAAAAAACCACAGTGAATCCCGTTAATTTTTTTGCCAGGATTTACTGTAGCTCAGAACACATGATTTACTGTGCCTGGCTACAGTACTGACTGTAAGGGAAGGTGGGGTACAGTGGGACACCGGATACATTGGGACACCTTCAATATTTCCAACTTCCGGTTATGTCAGGTTCTCCGGAAAATTGACCAAAATAGAGCGTTATTTGGTTTACTGTTTTCACGACTCGGGGACAGAACTGGGCGTTTTCTGAATGAGAAACGTGGGTTGGAAGTTTGATTCCACAAAAACCGATGAAAAAGTGGCACGTTTTTTGAATTTTTTTTTCTTTTTAGCGTCTGAAATGCACGTCGGATGATCGTACCGAGGTTAGGAATGTGTTCCCTGGTGCAATGAGCGTCAAAAAGGGTCAATGCGCGGAGCTTGGTCTTGAGGTCAAGGGCCACAGGCCGATATGACGTTTTAAGGGGAGGTTCTACTGAAAATCTTACTTTCTTCAAATTGAGTCCCACTTTGTATGTTCATTGTAAATTTAAAGTATGTTATAGTAAATAGTAAAATTTGAAGTTTGGAGAGGAATACCTAGCCCCAAATCCAGTCGAAGAGGAATTTTCTGCTTTTTCCAGTCGTATCTTGAAAAATTCTCCTACGCAAAGTTTTTGAACGTAAACTGATGTTCTGGTCATTTTTCACTTTTTTGGTTCATAATTGATAAACCGTGGCATAAGTAACATACTGGGACCATTGCAAAATCATAAGCTGTGTTTTCAACACAGCATGTCACTAAAATTTCAAGAAAATGGTCAAAATCCTGATATTTTAGTGTCTTTTTTTTTCTGATAGGCAGTGCCAAAATAAATTTGTTTGGTCTCATGTCTTAGTGATGCCACGCTTTATTGCTTATGTGCCAAAGAAGTGAAAAATGTCCAGGACATCAGTTTACGTTGAAGTACTTTGCGTAGGAGAATTTTTTAAGATATTTCTAAAATAGGCTGAAAAAACCTCTTCGACTGGATTTGGAGGAAGGTATTGGGCTCTAAACTTTATGTTTGACTATTAACTGTGTAGTACTACACATATGCAACAAATGTTAACACTGGGGCTCAATTTGAAAAGTGCCATTTTTTCAGTAGAACCTCCCCTTAAAATGACTCAGTTCACATTGGGACAGGGTGAGGCTACTGGGCCATGTGGATAGCAAAAGTACATGAATCGTACATATATTGTCTTGTCTCGTCCAAACAAATAAAAGTTATCTTATGCATGTGGTCTCTAAAGTCATTACTTCAGGGTTTTCTCGAGTGGAGAGGTCGAAAAAATACGAAAAGTAGTACTATTCCATTGAAAGCAGCGTATCTTCCGAACGCTTGGAACCAGAGATCCGAGTCTGCGCTCATTGTATTCAGCATAGCTTTTTCTACAACTTGGCAGTCCGAAAAAAAAAACGCACGACTTAGATCCAGATTGTTTTCATTGCTGTCCCCATGTGCCCCGGATCTGTCCCAATGTGCCCCGGTACTGTCCACATTGGGACAAGTGCAGACTCTACGGAAAATATCGCTTCTGCCTAAAAACGTGTCGAAATAAGTTTGAATGCTTCAGCATATGATAGGCTAGATGTCAATGCACAACTTAGGCCTGCCCCGACCATTATAGCTCGAAAGCCCTCTGACGTAGAGCGCGAAGAAAAAATCCGTCCCAATGAGCCCCACCTTCCCTTACCTGGTACAGGATATTCCGTACTCCACTCCTGTGGTACAGTAAATTCCGTGCAAACTACAGTACATCCTGTAAAAAAGTACAGTAAATCCTGTACTCTGAATTACAGTGACAGCTGTACTAATCACTACAGGATTTACTGTGATTTTTTCCCACAGTGTAGGGTGCCGCGAAAAACACTTTTTTCTGAAATTTAAATGTGTGTGATTTCGGAACTCCTCGAAAAGGGTAAGAAAAGTACACCACCGGGAAAGAAAAGTACAACGAAAAGAATTGCGATTTCGAAGCAGGAGACCACCAATCCTGGCTCAATACACGTTTACCCCTAAAGTGGAGAGCTTTCACTTGCCATTAGTTCAAGTTTCGTCAAAATCGGTCAATTGGTTCTGATTCTACATGCAGTCATCACAGAAGGTCCAAGAAGCCGTATCTCAGAGATAAGTGGGTACAGCATTTTTGTACTTTTCTTCCCCTTTTCAAGTAAATGCCCAATAACTTGTTTATTTCGAGTCCAATTCTATAACTTGTGTTGACATTTTTTGCTTGTCTCGCCCAATCAAATGTATTTCCGTGATCAATTCAATTTTCATCCCGCTTGTAGTTTCTTGGAGGGTGTTCTTTTCTTCCCCAATGCCTGTACTTTTCTTCCCCATTTCATTTTTACACTTATAAAACATTGTGTTGAAGCCTAAGAGCCTCGAACGGCACTGTTTTTCAAAGATGATGGTCTAAGCTATAAGGTGGTACCTTACATTGGACTGTCGGCTGATTCTGCACGAAGCTGTACTTCAAAGTACAAACATTTAAAAAAAGATTTTCATAGTTATTTTTTATGTGTTTTTCAAACGTGCAGTTTGTTTCTAAATATTATATGTAGAACTGGGCTAAATTTATTTTTTGTCAGCGCGGGATGACCAATCTTTCTAAAACCGCTAACGTGATGGTTCAGTGTAGTTTCAGTTCGGAGATAACACGGGTGTACTTTTTTTACCCGAGCTTCGAGTGTACTTTTCTTACCCAACCTACCCCTAGATCAGCCATTTCGAGTCTAAACGTATGACATGTGGTTACTTTCTTTTCATCTCGTTGAGACGAATCCATTTCCGACATCAGTTTTTCATTTCCACATATTTGATTTTTCACCTCTTTTCTGTCAATAGTACTAAAAATACCGGACTACGAAGTTTGAGGGGATCTGAAAAGAGTAGGGACATTCCATGTGAAGTCAACCAGGCCTTAGCCACCATGGGCTCCGATCCGGTTCTCGTTTTCAGGGTTTGTTACCCCTATGGTCCCATGAAATAATCGGTACTTGGTTTGGGGTCCGGCCCCCCAGGGGCTGGGCTATGGCCAATTTACTTTTTTGCTGAATATCGGAACAACGCAACTTTGGAGGGCAATATCTCAGCAACCATTGGTCGTAGGTCAAATTCGAGACCAGATTTGGAAAGAGGATGAAAAACTGAATCTTTTTTGTCTTTGAAGTTTTAATGTCCAAAAACTTTTTATAAGTTTAAAACTTTAGTGAAGTTTTCAAATTAGCGCCATTTCCTAGATCCTCAACCGATTTTGACCAATCTGGGCTTAAAAGATAGCTTAAACCCTTCCCTAAACGAAAATGTTAACCAAAAAATGTGTTCGGCTTCGTTCCCGAGAACGAGTCATTTTCGTGAACCCCTGCAACCACGTATTTCACCTAATTGTAGTGACGGCCGAACTCGATACCACTCTGGCCTGATTGCAGACGAGAGAGTTAATTGTGATCAAGCTGTTGACATTGGTTCTCGAGCAATGGAAAAAATTGCTGGAAAAACATTTGCAGAAATTACTTTGCACAGGAAAGACAAGGCAGTCCCCATTTCAGCTATGCTCAGGTCGGTGACAATAAGAGGAAATATTGTTCAAGTTGACTCCACACATCTATTTCATCGCATTATTGTTGCAACGAAAGATCTGCATGAACTTGAAAGCAGCTTTGAGTATGAGCTAGCCCCATTTCCCACGTCACTTTTTAATGAAAATGGCATGAGAAAATCTGAGAAGTCTAAGATTGTGCCTGCATTAGAAAGTTTGTTTTGCCGCGCCGATGATAAGCTTCCTGCAGACCCTTGTTACGTTGTTGATGGCGGCTATTTTATGAGAAAAGTTGTGTGGCCACGCCCCGCTACGTACGCCGAGGTGATCAGCACGCACGTCAGGTACGCACTGTCGCAGTATGGAGAAACAGCTCATGTCGTGTTTGACGGGTACATTGATGGGCCAAGTACTAAGGACCCGGAGCACAATTTTCGGGCGGCAAGTGGAACAAGCCCTGATCTTGACTTTGAACTGCACATGGATATAACTACAACACAATCTAAGTTCTTGACAAATCACACACAGTGTCTGCTATTTTTAAGGGCCAAAAGAAGAAAGCTCTACAGAAAATGTGCGATCAAGCCCTGAAAAATGAAGTCGAAACATTTCTTAGCCCGCACCAGCCGGGTAACAAAGTGGCTGCTGCAGGAGAAAAGATCTTCCTTTCACTTTATGGTGTTTCGAGATGCGCCAACCTGAAGGAGGCAAGGCACTTTCTGTACAAAAGAACAATTGCAAGGCAGTCCGTGAAGGCCAAGTTTGATATAGCCACTTTGCCACCCTCATTTGAGGGAGCCCGCCAACATAGCTATCGAACGTATCTACAAGTACAAGACTGGCTGCAACGTTCTTCCACCTACTGACTGGGGCTGGAAACTAGAAAACTCCCAGATGCACCCCATTCCAACAACCCTTCAAGCCGCACCAGCGCGCCTTCTTGATTTGATCAGCTGCAATTGCCAAACAGGCTGCGGTAAAGGCTGCACCTGCTTCATTGCAGGACTGAAATGTAGCTCGATTTGCGGTCACTGTGCCGGTGTGAGCTGCTCCAACGCCGAGCCCACGGACCCCAAGGAGGCGGACGCCGATAGTGACGACAGCCAGGAAGAGGATGGCGAGGATCCCGACGACCCAGAAGCTGTCGTTTAGCTGGTTACGCAGGTAAATTACTATCAAAAGTAATTTTATGTGCAAAAGTAATTGCCCTCAACTAATAAAAGCTTTTCGTTCCAGAAGTCACTTGCAAGAATCTTTTGTTTTGTTCGCCGAGGGAAGAAAATAAATTAATATGTAACAAAAGCTGTATTTAAAGAAATAAATGTGTATTAAGATGTAAAAAACGATTTAATGAAAGTTAAACATGCAAGGAGTTTCCCCGCGGCCGGACAGCCCGCCAGCGGCCAGCGCAGCGCTGCCGTCTCGGGTGTCACATCTCCCTCAGTTTTCATCGCCCAGGTACTGTTCCAGCATCTTATTGTTCACAGCACTTGGTCCTACAGGTTCAAGAAACAAGAATTCGGCCAATTTCCCTCTTGGTACAGAGAAAATTACGCTCAGAATCGGTTTTCTTTATTTTCAAAAATTGAAAAAAAAATATTTTTTCACTTTTTTCCAGTGTATATGTTACTAAAACCCAATTTCGAGCAATGCATCTTGTAGCCGCATGTGTCACGAGTATTTTGAGCACTCGCACGCCTCTGTAGGTCAAACCGTTCGGCCGTGAGGTGTTGAGAACCATGGCTGCGACCGGCGGCGGCATGCACGCGCCGCCCTCGCCGGGCAGCGCACCTTAGCCGTCTCGGTATCCTATCTCCCTCAGTTTTGATCCCACAGTTATCAAACACATACCAATCTATTCAGAAAACGTAGGCCTACATCGCCAAGAGAAGCACATTTTGCCGATTTCTCACTTGGAACAGAGAAAATTACAATCAAAGTACCTTGTACCTTTCACAAAAACCCAAAATTTCACTTTAATTCATTTTTTTTCAGTGTAGATGTTATCGAAATCAAAATCCGATCCATGTAACTTGTAGCCGCAAGTATCACGAGTGTTTTGAGCACTCGCACGCCTCTCTAGGTCAAACCGTTTGGCCGTGAGGTGCCAAAAACCATTTTGGTCAAAATGTTCAAAATTATGAACTTTGAACGCCGATATCTCCAATCGGCACCGTGGGATTTTTTGGGATTTTGGGGAGAGGCTTCCTTAGACCTACCAGAAACGATCCCCAAAGTTTGGTACTGTTCGGAATTTTGTCCGGGTCAGGGGGGTTTTTTGCACCGTTTGACTGGACTACAAGCAGCCAAGAACTAGTGGCTGGAAGCCAGAACAGTGCGACATCTGTTTCTCCCTCCTTGAGCCCAGTGGTGCTAAAGGAATCAGCCACCCGGAAACTTACATCATTGGGTATAAATCCCGTAGATCTAAGCGCTCTCAGATCTGAAGGGGCCAAAGTTGGTGCTGTAAAAAGAAAAGCTGAAGAGGCAGCATCTGCAATTACAAAGAAAGTTTCTCTTGCTCTTGGAGTAAATGAAGAAAATATTGGAACTACTCAGGCAAGGAAAGCGAAGGACCACGATTTATTGATGGATGAAGTGAAACAACGTGTCCCTACAGCATCTAAAGTTTTGAAATACCAGCTTTTATCTCTTGTACCACTCAGTATGCCTGTGAGAGAGGGAGCTCAACAATTTGGAGTCAGCAGGACACTGTTTGGATTAGTCAGGCGACTAAAAGAAGAGAAAGGCATCTTACCCGTCCCTGACTTCAGTAGAATTTCTAGTATTTCTGCAGATACTAAAGCTAAGATAGTTGAATTTTACTGTAGTGATGCAAATTCAAAAATAATGCCCGGTTTAAGAGACTGTGTCAGCATCAGAAAGGGAGTGCACGAACAGAAGCGATTGCTCTTGAGCAATTTACCAGAGTTGTACCAAGCATTCAAGGAAGAAAATGAAGGTCTCAAAATTGGCAAGTCAGTATTTTGGTCCCTGAAGCCAAAATGGTGTGTGAGTGCAAGTGAGGCAGGAACACATGAGCAGTGTGTTTGCCAGACGCACCAAAACTTTAAATTAGTCTGTTATGCTCTGAATATCAAGACTCACTATAGAGATTTAATTCCATTATGTGTGTGCAATGCCAAAGACAGATCGTGTATGTTAAGGCTCTGTGAAAATTGTCCGACTTTGGAATCCATACAAGAAATTCTAAAAGGTCAAATTAAAAGACCTGATTTCCTGGAGTCAGAATTTTCATCGGGCGATGAGTATGATTTTCTTGATGAAAGTGTGAAGTTTCGACAGTGGAAGGCATCTAGTGGTAAAACAGCAGTAGTATAACTGGTACTGGGTAACGGTTGCCTACCTCCAAGGGGTCGCCTGGCGAACACTGGGGTCACGGATTTGGCTCAGACACACGGTGGTTGTCTACCCACAAGTTGCCTGGGTTCCTCTGACACTTGGTTGCAGCCCCATTCAAGAACTCTGTTTTTCAATACAGGACTGTGTTATTAATTATTTTTTTAAAAATTCTAAGTTTTTGCTGTTCAAAATTTTCATTTTTTTTTCTTGTTTGACTTGAGTAAAAAGGATCAGAAACAAAACATGTTTAAAATGAAGTATTTTTATTTTGTATGAAACAAATTATATAAAGAAAACTTGATTACATGATGTTTCACGATAGTATAAGCAACGCTTTTACAAAGGTTACATGGCATTTTTCAATGGTTACATACACGATACAAACATTGTTTCAAATAAAAGGTTATATGATATGGAATACATTTTGAAACGTTACATGTTGATTACATGAGGTTACACAAACACTCGCAAGGTGTACCTGATTGGGGCTCGGCAAACCCCACAGTGTGTCATGGAAGGTAAACACAGAGTGCAAGTAAAGAGGTGCGCACAAGGGAGGACTACCACGTCCACCCCCCTTTCGTAACATATTTTACAAATGATTTTGTCATGCGCCTTACAGTGCCCCTGAGTAGTATTTGACTGAGCAACGTGTGGTTTGATGATGTTTTTAAAGTGTAATGGGACGTTGTCAATCGTTTGGAGTTGAGTTTGGACTTTCTGCACGTACTCCTTGCCTAGTAGTCGCACTAAAAATCCACAGTAAGGTGAGTATGTCGCATGCTCAAAGGCGACATCGTCGCTCTCTTTCCACCTTCCCAACCCTGTTCCACAGTGGAAGCACATCACTGCATCCTTTACTCCTGTGTAAAAGAAGCCGTTTTCAGCAAGGGCTTCTGGTGTGATTTTTATGTCTTTTGGCCAACGTTTGAATGTCTCCATTCTCTTCTCTGCTGATTGCATGTCGGGGAAATCTGGCAATTTGTATGGAAGAATGTTCAGTGCGTTTGCAAATTTGTCAAAATACCCACGGAACAGTGTAACTTGTTCGGCATGGCGTTCAATGTGAGATCGATCAACCAAACGCTCTGCAGTGCGCTCAATTTCGTCCAAAAGGCTATTGACTTGTGAAGCCCGTTCTGGTATGATCACTGTCAGAAGATCATGGTAGATTGACCTTAGTGGTGGTGAGTGTGCTTCCCCAGGCCTAGTGGAATCGGGTACGGTTTGATCTTCCCCCGAATTGGATGGAGCGCCAGCTGAATCGGGTTCGCTTGCCGTGTTATTTGTGTGGTCACCTTCTTCGTCACTGATGTCTTGCATGGGCCCACAACGTGTTGCTTCCTGTGACTCATTCTCCTCATCTGTCAAATCCACCACCTCCGGTTGTGTTGGTGCCTCCTGAGTTGCACTCTCTGTCAAATCCGCCTCCTCCGGTTGTGCTGGTGTCTCCTGAGTCGCACTCTCTGTGTTATCTGTCTCCATTTCCTCGTTCTCCTCGCCTCGCTCCTCTGTCAGCATTTCCTCGCTCTCCTGGACTTGCTCCTGTGGTGTCAATGTGCTTGTCTCGTCTCCTGTGTCCATGTTTTCCGGTCTGTCTCCCTCCTGTCTCTCCATCTTTTGCATTGTGTGTCTTGTGGTTCTGAGTGTGCAGGTGATGCCCTCTGCCTTCGTGCTGCGCCTTTTAAGCCGGTCCGTGGACCCTCCGGCCTCGGCGGCTCAGTCTCCCCTCCGGACTCGGTTCCCCTCCTTCGTTCAGGTTCCCTCACCATTCCCTCCGTCCCCGCTCGCCCTAGGGAAGTCCTAGAGGGCGCCAGTGTTGCGTACTGCCCTTCCCGCACCTCTCCCCGTGAGGGCCTTCCCGCTCCTCGTCCCTCTCCTTGCTTGCCTAGATGGCGCTAGTGTCGCCTTCTGCCCGCCCCGCACTTCCCTCCGCGGGCGTCCTTCGGCCGCCGGGCCCTCGTCTAGTCCCTGGCGTTCCTCTATCCTCCCCGCTCCCCCGCACCCTCTCCTCATTCCCCTCCCCGTTGGTTGGGTTCGGCCGTCGGGCCGCATTGTCTTTTTCCATCCCCACGCACTCTTTTTCTCCTTACGCACGCCTAGATGTCGCTAGTGCAGCCTACTGCCCTCCCCTTCGACCGCCGGGCCTTTTCCGCTCCTTTCCCCGCACTCCGCCCGCCTTGGTTGCGCTGGCCTACGTCTTCTGCCCGCCCCGCTCTCCTCCCCTCCTAGGGCCCCTTCGCCCGGCGAGTGTGCGCCTCCCTCTCTTTTCCCCCCCCGTGCCCTGCTCGCCTTGCCATGCTGCCCGCCCCACACTCCCCCCTTCCCCTCCTTGGGCCCCTTCGGTCGGCGTGCGCCTCCCTGTCCCCTTTTCCCCGCGCCCCGCTCCGCCCCTCTCCCCCGCTCCCTCGTTGCGTATCACTTCCTCCTCTCCGTGACCCTTTCTCTCCTCTCTTCACGTTGTGTCTGGGTATTCCCTCTGTCTGGCGTCGTCGCGTTCTTGTGGACCCCTCTCCCCCTCCCACTCCACTCGAGGCCTCCCCGGCTCTGAATCATCGGCGCACGCCGCGCCCGAGCCTGCCGCGGTCCTTATCACTTCCCCCTCACCCTCATCCTTCTCACTTGGCCCTGAATTTGTTTCGATACTTTGCAGACTTGTGCGACGAACATTTGCAAAGCCTCCCTTGGTCAACGATTGGCAGAAGAAATCAAAACAGCTAATGATTAAAGATAAGACAGCAAACAATAAAAATAAAATCAATTCCATTTGCAAATTATCCTGTGCATATTTTCTTTGTGCTATTTCTGTGTCGTTTCTATTTTCCATGTCGTGCTTTAACGCGTGCCACGCGGCGCGCCTCGTCTTCCAGTGTTTTGCTGATGAAGTGGTTGTCTGCGCTTGCCTGCGCTATCTGTAAGTTTATATTTCGGAATTGGAGTCCCGGGGCCCTTCGTGGCGTGCTGTCGGTGTGCCCTGGCGTCCTGGTGTCCAGGACCACGCCGTCAGTCTGGTGATGTCCGTATGCGAGTGCACCATGTGCCACAGGACTAGGGACACGTCGACGTCTAGCTCGAGCTCGTCCGACTCGTCGAGCTCCAGCAACTCAAGCAGTACCAGCTCGACCTCAAGTAGCAGTTCAAGTTCGACGAGTTCCAGCTCGCGTGAGTCCTCTCCGGCTCCTCCACCAAAGGTACGTTTTCTGACTTTTATACTTTTCGGCTCCGAGAATGAACGCGTGACTGTCCGTGAGCTTGCGCGAGCCCGCCGAGCCCGTGCCTTGCGGTCTATTTTTTTGTCCATTTTTTCAGGCGGCACGGAAAAGTCGAAGCCGAGTTAAGAGGCGAAGCGATGCGCCCCTCACGAAGCCGACGGGATCCACACCTCCTGAGGTACGTTACTCTGCCAAACGTTTTGATGCTCCGAGAATGCACGTGTCACGCCGTCCGGTGTCTGTGTGTGTGTGTGTGTGTGTGTGAGAGAGAGAGAGAGAATGAGTGAGCGCGCGTGTGGTGGCTTGCCACGCCGTTCATTTCTTTTTCTATTCCACACAGAAAAGTGCAAGTGACGGAGTGCCCGTGGAGAAGCCGACCGAGTCCCGGCCGCCCTCCCCGGAAGCACCTCCAGAGGTACGTGAACCTTTTTTTTTTCACTCCGAAAATGAGCGTGTGGAGAGAGAGAGAGAGAGAGAGAGAGAGAGAGAGAATGAGTGAGCGCGCGTGTGGTGGCTTGCCACGCCGTTCATTTCTTTTTCTATTCCACACAGAAAAGTGCAAGTGACGGAGTGCCCGTGGAGAAGCCGACCGAGTCCCGGCCGCCCTCCCCGGAAGCACCTCCAGAGGTACGTGAACCTTTTTTTTCACTCCGAAAATGAGCGTGTGGTGCGTGCGCGGTTCATTTTATTTTGTTTCCATTTTCTAGGACACACAGAAAAGTGCACCGGACAGTGTACCCGTGGGGGAGCCGACAGGGTCCCTGCCGGCTTCTCCGGCTGCACTTCCAGAAGAGGTAAGTTTCCGACTATCAAACTATTTTTTTTGCTCCGAGAATAAGCACGCCAGCGGTGCGCGGTTCATTTTAGTTTTTTCCTTTTTCTAGGTTATTGACGAGCCTTTGGACTTATCATCACGTGAGTCCGTGGAGCCGGCGCCACTTCGGCGAGAGTCCACCCCGTCTCCACCGGTGCCTCTGGATTTAAGCCCAAAGAAGCGCCGCGTATCTACTGTAAGTTTTTTTTACGGTCTCGTGCTTTTTTTTTGTCGAGTGCGCTGTTTCTCATTTTTTCCTGTGTGTGTTTTAGGATGCCGTTCCCGCTCGGACTCGGAGGGTCTTGCCGGCACCCAATCGGCGGGCCCTGACCCGGGCGGCGTCAGCAGACGAGCGACGGCCCGGCAGCTGGGGGCTGCTTCGAACGCCCCCTCGTTCGTCTCGTGATGAACGTCACTTTTGATCTCCATTTATTTCCCCACTTTTATTTGCATGATGTAACCTGAAGGGATATATTTTTTTCAATATAATCATTTGTAACCGAGTCCTTTTTGGTTTTTTCCTCTCCTTGAAAATGAACCACACGTTTTTTTCTCAAGTTTATGATTTTATTTCATATTGAAAACAAAGCCACATTACAAATCTCTCATCTCATACAACACCTTTTCCTGAAAGAATGTTAAGTGATACACAAGAAATTCTTCACGCACCATGGCCAAATTACAGGATTCAATCAAAGACAGATCTTGAGCATACTGAGCAGAAATAAACGGCGTTGTCTTTGCCATACAATGACGCATCCGTTCATTTCGCACAGGGATATCTTCCTGCACGAGTTGTTGATAGGTTATGTTCTGAGAATGGAGCTCTTTGATGGTTTCGTTGACAAATTGCTGTGCAAAGTGTTCAATGTGAGTTTGGCTCAGTTGAACCAATTCGAGAGACAGTTTAGTCAGTTCACGAGCCTCGCCAAACTTTCGCCAAGTTGCTGGTGCAAAAAAGAAATTGATTTTCGACCCCGTTCTGTTAAATCGAACAGATTTCCCCCCGTGCTGTGAGATGTACGCACAAACTCGAATTCCGCCCACCTGGATGGGGTCTGGTTTGTTTTTGGACCAAAATAGACTTTGAATTTTTTCAAAAATGTCTGGATTGAGAAGAAGTGTCAACTCGTTGATGGAAAGCCTCATCCTGTTCATATCCTCTCCGTGTTGTTCAGTCAGTACGGCGGAAGGTTTTCCCGTGTGCAAATCAATTCCCAGAATCAGTGTTTTTGCATTGTTTGTCAGGGCCCCCAAAGTCAGTGCAATCGTTTTCCGGTTTACAAAATAGGGTATCCCACCCAAGTCTTCCCCTGGTTGGTCTTCAGTTTGCATGTTGCTTGGCTCAACCGGTGTCTGGCTGTTGACGTAACTTTCAAAAACTTCAAAAATTTCGTCTTGGAGTTGAGTGGACGTGTCTTGTTCCCCTGTGTTTTTGTCTTTGCGCTGGAGTGACCTCTTGCGCCCTTTCTTCGTCTCTGAGTCACTGTTCTGTGGGTCCATGGCCGTGTTCCTCGTGTAAGTGTGTACCGAACGGTCCTCTGCACGCGCTTTTATTTCGCACTGCACGGCGTCTCCCCCCATTTTTCTCCCGCCATTCACTCGGGTGGGAGGCAACAAGTCTGAACACGTTTTTGAGAGTGGGGAGAGAGCTACTCGAAATCGGTGGGGGAAAAATGTTTAGCCTGTATGTACGGCCAGTGATCAAGAAGAGTGGTCCAGGCCGTGAGGCCAAAGCGTGTGAAGCAAAATGTGGGGCCAGTGTTCCTATCGATATCAAAGAATTCGTCCCGTGTCACTTCAATGAAAGGTTTATCTCTCAATTGAATACACTGAATATGGTGCGAATCGAAACAAATCCACTGGCCCCGGTATTTTAGGCCGTCAGATGTCCTCAAGTGTTTTGTGATGGTTTTGCACGCATCAATCGTATTTTTGACAAAGGCTTTGATTTCTGACGTGGAAAATTCATCCTCTATTTCTCCGTGTTTCAAAATCTGTATGACGGTTTGATTGGATGCATCCGTCTTGACGAGTAGCTCCTTCTGACTGTTTGGGTTCAGAGTAATAAGGGTGATTTTTTCACGAGTCATCTTGGCTTGTTTTGCTCCTGCTCTCTGTGTGGTGTGTGCCTCTGCTTGCCATGCCTGTCCATTTGTACCCCACATTTGAACGCCCGCGCCAGCCCGCGCAGCCCGCGCAGCCCGCGCGCCCGCCGCCGCCGCGCCCGCCGCGCCCCGCCGCCCCCGCCGCGCCCCGCCGCGCCCCCGCCGCCCCCCCGCCGCGCCCCGCCGCGCCGCCCCGCGCCGCCCCGCGCCGCCCCCGCCGCGCCGCCGAGTCCGCGTTGGGCCCCTCCAGGGCATGCCTCCTTGCCGCACCATTCCCCGCTTCCCCCTTGTCGCGTTAGTGGGACGTTATTCCCCTTCGCCGGGCTCTCAACTCGTCGCGAAGGGCGGGGCGCCGGACAGCGAGTCCGCGTCGGTCCCCTCCAGGGCATGCATCCTTGCCGCACCATTCCCCGCTTCCCCCTTCTCGCGTGAGTGGGACGTTATTCCCCTTCGCCGGGCTCTCGGGGCGCCGGGCCGAGCGATCGCGCCGCCGAGTGCATGCGACCTCACCATGCCCCGCTCCCCTCTGGGGACGGCAGGCTCATCGCAGGTTCCAGCTTGTCGCGCCGGGCCGACCGCTCCTTCCGCACCACTCCCCGCAGGCGTCGCGCTGCGTTTCGTCCGCTCTCCGTGAGAGTGCGTGAGCTGCTCTCTTTGCGTCACGCGTTCCCCTTCCTAGTGCGGGGCCGTTGGCGGGCGATTATAAATGCCCATGTCAGAGCCGACGAGAGTCACACCACACAACTCGCACTGACAAGGAAAACAAAAAACACGACCATGAGCGCGGCGGATATTCTAGATGAATGGGATGGGGGCTGCTTTTACACTAATTCATTTCTTTCGGAGGCGTTTTGCACGCTTCTTTCCACTCTGACAAACTCTCAAACCGATTTCACTGACCCACGGCTGAGTCATTTTCTTGACGAAGGTTACAGGGCACATTTACAAGAACTCAACACAGGGGGTCATGCAAATCCAAACATACACTCGGCATACACGTATGCAAAGAATATGGTCGGTGGAGCTGTCACTCGGAGACAAGCACAAGCAAGTCAAAGCACAGTCAGTCCAGAGCAACACGAGCAGTCCACATCACAAAAACGAACGAGTGAGGACGTGCCTTCCGAATCAGAAGAGGAGGAGGAAGTAGCTCCCACCATTGAAATTATTCAATCGACAACAAGATACCTCAAGAGGTTCAAGCTCAACTTCAGAGAGGAGGTATTTGCGGTGAGACACCTGGGGACAACATTAGATCCTTATCATCAGCTGACAGATTTATTTGATACCCTTTTAGACAGACAAAGGCATGCAGTCCACGCCAATCCCGACGACAGTTGCATCATTGAAGTGACAGGAAGTGAAAGTGCGAACACGCCTGTGTGGTTCAGTTTGCGACGCACTGATCAAATCAATGGCCAAATTATTTTGGACAAAATAAGTCATGTTTTAAATTCGAATCAAAGTTTTATGACGGACGGAGCGCTTCATTTTTCATACATTCATGTTCCTAACCCCAAATCTGGGGGAGGACGAAATAACCGTCCTAACGAAGAAATGTCGCATTTAATTTTAAGAAAAATTCAAAGCGGTTCACTTTTTGACCCCGAAAATGTGGATGACAAAATGTGTCTGACACGATGCGTCAGCGTTTGCATGATGCACAACACGGTTTCAAAACAGCTTTCCTGAGACTAAAAGACGTCAATCCAAAGTACAAAAGAAATTGGCACTCCAGTTATGCAACATGGCGGGCATCGACCCAAACACGGAATGCCATATTTCAGACGTTCAAAAACTACAAAACATTTTACCTGATTATAGACTTGTCGTTTTTATGGGTAATAGTGGCAAAGACATCGTTTTTCATGGTCCCGTTTCAACTTCTTCACATCCTAGGAAAAACATTTACTTACTTTTACACGAAGGACACTTTTATGGGATACTCAAAATCAAGGGAACATTTGGGTTCCGATATTTTTGTGAACACTGTTTGGTTTGCTTCAGCAACAAAAGTGATCATCGATGCGTCGATTCCTGTTGGAGGTGCGGTTCCAAAGAGTCACACCACACGGACCATCATTTTTTAAAAAGGTGTGGAAACTGCTGTCGTAATTTTGCTGGCGACGAATGTTTTGAGTTTCACAACACTGCAAAAATCTACAGCAACGGAAAAACCACATGTGACGTTAAAAAGTTTTGTCCAAAGTGCGAGAAGAGTGTTGTATTGAAAGATAGGGGCAGGGGCAAAAATAACAAGCACGTTTGCGGTACAAGACATTGCAAATATTGTAACTCCACTGTCCTAGAAAATCACTTGTGTTTTATACAACCGTGGGAACCACCAGCTGTAAGTAAAGACACTAGAACGATACGCCTCTATTTTGACACGGAAACGATTCAGATTGAGCAGTTTGAAGACAAGAACAACTGGATGGAACACAAACCTAACGTACTTATTTGTCAACAAGTTTGTGACAAATGTGAAAACATTAAGGAGATGGAACACGTTTGTTTACACTGTGGAACACGAGAACACATTTTTGAATCACTACAAGATCCACCCCATTGTAATGTCGTTGAACAGTTCGTATCGTACCTTCTCTCTCTTTGCAACGATGAAAAAACAGAAATCATTTGTTTTTCTCACAATGGCCGAGCTTTTGACAACTATTTCATTCTCCAAGAATTTATTAAGAGGAAAATGCAACCAGAAGTGATTTTACAGGGACTCAAAATAATTTGTTTAAAACATGGAAACATCACATTTAAAGACAGCTTACTCTTTGTCGCACAAAAATTAAGTTCACTTCCAAAATCATTCGGACTTTCCGAGTTACGCAAAGGATACTTTCCACATTTTATGAACACGCCACAATACTTTGACTATGTTGGACCCATGCCAGACAAAAGTTTGTATTGCACTTCGACAATGACTTCCAAAGACAAGAGCGTGTTCGAATCGTGGTACCAAGAACAAATGGATTCCCATTATGAATTTAACTTTAGGTACGAGATTTTAACTTACTGTCAATCTGATGTTGATATTCTTAGACAAGCTATGGAGTCTTTCCGCGTAAGTTTCATGGAAATCAGTGGTTTTGACCCGTTACGTCACTCGTTAACGATTTCATCCGCTACCATGGCCATGTACAGACATAAACACTTGATTCCAAACACGATAGGGATTGTTCCAAGGGGTGGGTATCGATCACGTGACAAACAAAGTTTTATCGCCTTACAATGGCTTGACTTTGAGCAGTACAAATGGAAAGACATCTCAAATATTTCAACTGCTGAAAACGGTCGAGAAGTAAAGGTTATGGGCAGGCCAGTTGATGGTTACACTGAAATCAGTGCCCCTGATGGAACACTTGA